GAGGCTCGTGCGCATTGCCGTGCCCACCACACCCGAGCCCGTCACATGCCCGCTGTCTAACCCGGCCCCTGACAACGACGAGCTGAAGGGAACCGACATGACCATCCGCGGCGAGTCGACTCGAGATCTGTCGTACGTAGGCCTCCTCCCGCACACCTGTCCTGGCGACCGCCCGCGAGAAAAGCACGAAAAGAAATAAATTACGCTATCGACCGGCCGACGACACCGTTGGTGGTGACCCCAGCTCCCTCCTCACGCTGCTGGACCCACTCGGACAACTGCCTGCTCATGGTGGCAGAGCGAAGCGCGTACATTCCGAAGCAGGTGACAGGCCTTTCGTGACGGGCCCGGCCCTTACCGAACACCCAATGTCATCATCCACCACATGTTCAGTGAATGCATTGCTGATTACCGCATCAATGCTACCGGCGTCCGCCGGGAGCTCCGACGCGCACTCGCGTATGGCCCTGAGTGATGGAAAGTATGCAGAGGGTCCCTGATGCAAGGACGGCATCGGGGGGCAACCAGGCTAGTTCAAAAGTCATGCAGCATGGAAAAGGTCCGTGTAGCAACGTTGAATGTTGGAACGCTGACGGGGCGCTCATGTGAGCTGGCAGAGGCACTGGAGCGCAGAGACGTATAGACCTGTGTGCTGTGCAGGAAACAAGATGGTCCAGTTGCAAGTCAAGGGACATCGGTCGAGGCTTTAAAGCCCTCCTGTGTGGCAAACCAAAAACCACCAACGGAGTGGCTGTAATAGTCTCCCAGCGTTTCCGGGACTCGATAGCAAGCGTAGAACGCTTCGATGACCGCCTGATGAAGATCGTTATTGCTATCGAGCAGCGGTTGTACCATTTCTTCTCTGCCTATGCTCCACAGACGGGATGCTCCGAGCAATCCAAGGACGAGTTCTGGTCCCTGCTTGAAGAGAAGACAGCTGAGATACCGTCAGAAGACGTCGTAATTGTTGCTGGTGACCTAAATGGGCACGTAGGCTCTACGAAAGACGGCTACAGTTGTCATGGTGGTTTCGGTTATGGGTCACGTAACGCCGATGGTGAAAGAATTCTCGAGTATGCAGAGGCCCATAACCTGGTCATCGTGAATACGAAGTTTCGCAAACGAGACTCCCACCTTATCAGCTTCTACAGTGGGAGTGCCAGAACGCAGATAGACTTTGTCCTTGTTAGACACCGCGACCAAGGGCTCATCACGGACGCGAAGACGGTGCCGTACGAGACAGTTGCCACCCAACATCGCCCACTAATCTGCACGCTAAAGATCGCAAAGCTTCGGTCCAAGCGGGCCGAGCGATGTGGTCCCGAGAGGATTAAATGGTGGCGTTTGAAAGAAAAAGAGGCAGCTGTGATCTCTCATATAAGACTTCCCACCATCACGACTGTCGATGAGACCTGGAAAAGTGCTTCAAAGCGATACATGAGGCCGCTCGTTCCGAACTTGGCGTCACGAAGCCGGGAAGGCGTAGAATTGATAAGCAGCCGTGGTTATGGACCGACAATGTCAAAGAAACGGTTCGCGAAAAGAAGAGGCGCTACCACGCGTTTCTTGCCGACAAGTCAGCTAGTAGCTGGCGTAAGTACAAAGAAGCGAAGAGCGTAGCGAAGAAGGCTGTGGCTGCAGCGAAGGCCGCCCACTTCGAAGATGTCAGTAGGAAGCTCGATTCACGTGATGGTGAGCGACACCTCTACCGACTTGCCAAGGCTCGGCATCGTCAGGCTGAAGATATCGAGAAGTTTCCTGGTGTTAACGACGAGCATGGCCGCCTTTTGATGGACCGAAAGAAGGTGCTGAGGCGATGGCACGACTTTTTTGAGAACATTTCAACCGTAGAATATGCGCACCCGGCCATCCCTTTCGTCCCCAGTATACGGTCCCGTTCAGAAAGTAACCGTAGAAGAGACGGAGGCGGCTCTCAGAAAGATGAAGTCAGGCAAAGCAACAGGACCTGACGACGTGGCAGCCGACTTGTGGAAGGCACGGTGCTGGTACCCTGCACAATGGTTGACGGATTTCTTCAATCAGGTCGTTGCTGAGAAGAAGACGCCCAAGGACTGGCAAGAGAGCACGACGATTCCGATTTGGAAGAAGAAAGGCAGCCCTGCGGACTGCTCCAGCTACGCCCAATTCGCCTACTGTCACACAGTATGAAGATCTTCGAGCGAATCGTTGACAGCCGTATCCGCGAAATCGTCCAGCTCTCTATCAATCAGTGCGGCTTTGTGGCAGGCTGTAGCACCATCGACGCCATACATGCCGCGCGTCTTCTGCTGGAGAGACATCGTGAGAAGCAAGTACCACTGCATCTAGCTTTTCTGGACCTAGAAAAGGCATTCGATCGTGTTCCGCGTGAAGTTATATGGTACGCCTTGCGGCAACACGGCGTTCCGAAGAGCTTATTGAGTGGGTGCGCATCCTGTACTCCAGCTCAAAGAGCCGCGTGCATGCACCATCAGGCACTTCGCAGGACTTTCCCATCACGGTAGGAGTGCATCAAGGCTCTGCGCTTTCTCCACTCCTTTTCGTGGTCGTCTTGGATGCAATTTCACGAGATCTCCAGAAGCCGAGTCCATGGACGCTTCTCTACGCAGATGATGTGGTGCTGGCCAGTGAAGACAAGAAAGAACTCGAGCAGCAGGTGCAAGCTTGGTCTGATCGCCTGACGAAGTTCGGATTGAAGTTGAACATCAAGAAAACTGAATACTTGACGACCGATACAAATGAGTCCGATTCCATTAAGATCAGTGGCATCGAGCTCACACGCACAAGAGCCTTCAAGTATCTTGGATCAGAAATTGTGTCCGATGGCAGTCTGACCTCAGAGGTGAACTCTCGTGTGAGTGCAGCATGGGCCAAATGGCGCTCGATGACTGGAGTTCTGTGCGACAAGACCATACCAGAGCACCTCAAATCGAAGATATATAGAACTGTGGTCAGACCAGTAGCGCTGTACGGGGCTGAGTGCTGGCCTGCAACCAAGGAAGTCGAAGCCCGCCTTAGTGTGATGGAGATGAAAATGCTACGTTGGACGGCCGGTGTCACCCGTATGGATCGGATTTGCAACGATGACATACGCAAGAAGTTTGGCGTAGCTCCCATAGTTGATAAAATGCGAGAATCTCGTCTCCGATGGTATGGCCACGTACTTCGCGCGAAGGCGGACACCGTCTGCAAAACTGGTCTCCAGCTCGAGAGGACGCCCCAGGCAACGTTGGCTTGACACGCTGCACGCGGATTTGAAGATAGTTGGTGCTCACCCTGATCAGGCATTTGATCGGAATAAATGGCGTAACAAAATCAGGAGAGCGGACCCCGCCACAGAGCGGGACAAACGCTGAAGAATAAGAAGAAGAAGACCGGGAGAATCGTTCCAGCGCACATCATTGGTTGGAGATTTTGGTCGAGTGCGTACGACCCCTCCCCCTAATAGGAAGTTTGATACCACACCCCGAGTTCCCTCCTCTGATACGATGGAGCTGCCGAGGGGGGATAATAGTGCATGAGAAACAGTAGGTCGGTTTTAACCCACTATCTCGAGGGCGGCCATGGCGTCGTCTATAGAGAATCTGATCCTGGGCAGAACAGCATGTCGACTACCTGTGGCTTCTAACACCCCGACTCTACCGCAAAACAGAAGCATGGTAGAGTGCTGAAGCCGCTAAGAAACGTGGAAGCGCTGAATCAATCGCATCCAACATTCAGTCTTTTGCAATCGACAAAATTTCTGGCAAACAGAGCAAACCGAGAAAAGCCAACAACCAGAATCTTCCGTGCCACTTGAAAAGAGCTTCATACTTGTACTTGCTGACTCCGTACAAGACAAGGATAGGCGAGCGGATGAGGCTAGCGTTTTTGCGCGGGCAAAACGCCGAATCGCCTGTCGACACGTGTTGGAAATATTCCCCCGCAGGCGCTTTTTCTCAAATTTGTCATGGTTCCACTTGCCCATCACTAAGCTCGTCATCCGGGCACTTGATTGGGGCGGTCGTTAACGGGCCGCAGACGCGGCTGCAGCAGCGACGCGTGGAACTAGGAACTAGGAACTATTTGCTTTTTCCAGCCTAATTTTGTCATTTTTCCCTACTTTTTCACTGCTTTTGGCTGCGTTTTTGAAGGTTAGCAGTTCCTTGTCTTCACAAGGTAAATTATAATTGGAATCTTTATAACTTTTGCGAACAATTAAACGATTAAACAAACAATTAGACAAATGCCTGAAGAAAATCGCGAAAAACACATCATTACGAGAGAAAATGAAAGAATCCGCGGGTTAATACACTTCATAAAGACAATAACGTAAATTACCTCGAAAAAAATAGGAAATGCAGTGAAAATTAGGAAAAAAATTGCAAAATTAGGGTGGAAACAGCTGATCGCCACGTCGTGACGCGTTGCAGCCGCGTCGCGACACCTGGGCAGGTAAGGCATTGTTCACACTCTGCGGTCCAGCGTTTCTCTGAAACGCGGCGGTTCGGCGAAAAGCTTTCGATACATATCGACTGGCGGTTGGGCGAAAGGGTTTTGGTACGTATCGACGGGCGTTTCGCCAAACCGCGACGTTTTTCGCCTTCGACAAAACGCTAGCTCCATCGCGGTGGCGTTTTTCGCCAGCGAAATCGATACACATCTACTGCTTTTCGCCCAACCGCCCAACCGCGGCGGTTGGGCGGTTGGACGGTTGGGCGATTCTCCGATCGATGACTATTTATTGCTTTTCTCCCAACCGCCGTTTCGTCAGGGCCTGGCGACTGTGAACAATGCCTAATCAACTGCCCGGATGACGACGTATGTCCACATTATGATCACCGTCTTTTCCATCAACTGCATTTGTCCATCCAGAGCGACTGATCTGCCGACTGTTTTTATGAACAGTTCACCTCGCTTCTCGAATCAAGTATCCATCATTGTCTCTAGTTTTCCAGCTTTCAAAGAATTTTTAGTAAACAATGGTTCGATAATAGCAAGGCACTTCGCCACTCTGCAGTATGGATGCGATAGATCAGACTCTGCAGGCAACTGAGAAACTGCTCAAAGCCCTACAAGAGGTAATTTTTTGGGGACGTATCAGTAAACGATAGGGCGTGTGACGGGGCGTGGTCTGGAGCGCAACCAGGGTGGTCATTCCTACCAATGAGAGTCCCCAACAATTGGCGGGAAAGGCTGCCGTGGCTGCGCTTTATGCTAAACCCCTTCGTACGCCCTATCGCTTACGGGGATCAATAATTCAGTAATCGATAATCAGCCATCGATGATCGGTTTTGACTTTTAGGATCAGTCAACGCTTGGCGATTCCCCATTTGGGGATCGTCTATCGGATCTGCGCACGAAGCACAAGGAAACAACCGACTACCTCAACCGACTGTGGGAAGAAGAGTCTCGTTACCATTCAGTTCCCCATACGACTTGCCGTCAGTGGGCGGTTCATCATTGCTCGAGTGAACGACTGGCCGATACGTGCCCATACGATGTTTCTGCCTCATCTCGTCCTGCCGAATTCGTCATTCATCATCGCCCTAGCGAGTATACTATACATCATCGCCCAAGTGAATATACGATACATCAGCGGCCACGAGGATATACCGAAGAGCATCGCCCACGTCCGACAACATCTGAGCATCACCAAAGTGACTATCCGGGACCACCTCGTCCTAGCGAATATCCGGTCTATCGTTCCAAGGCAGAAGTCGTAGGCGATTTCCGCTCAAGCGAGTTACTCTTTTGATCGGCGCTTCAGGGAAACTTCGGCTCAGCACATTCGGAGCGGTCATTCGATTGAGCCTTTTACCGTAGTGTATCCATCCGATGATTCCCTAGTAGAATACTCAATACCGCACCGTACGGGCGCTTTTCTTGCTGATGAGCGCCTGCCTGGAGTGAGCGAGTACTACCCTTACCAGCTCCCAACAGAGCACCCGACCCGCCCGGTCCCAACCGATTACTCACTCGGAAACCTACCGCCAGGGTATCTCAAATTTCAACCCCCACCAGATGCCACATCTCATCAAGGTCCTTCACACCCTACAGAGGTACCATTTGGTCAACTCCCAAGCACTTCCGCTTATCCCCAACCCAGCGCACCTTCTGTTCAAAAACATGCACGAAAGCACTCAAATGGTCATCTCCCACCCAAATATCCAAAAGATCACCTCTCTGAGGACTCTCTTCAGCACGAGTCGCCGAAGAGTAAAAGCAGCGAGGAGGGTGATAGAGCTTCTAGAGATCAGCGTCAGAGCATTTCCAAAACCAGTTCTCGCCCTAAAGCATCTTCAGCTCTTCCGCGAACAAGCGTTCCCACAGTTCACCCACGCCTCAGAGAGCGAGTCAACAGTCTTCCAGCCAGGCCTATAGTACAGGACGCAGCTGATGTACTACATCTGGCAGAAAAAGCAAAGGCGAAGAAGAGAGAGGAACGGGCTCGAGAACGCGAAAAGGAAAAGATTCTCGAAAAAGTTGATGAAAATAGGTGAGAACTCTCGCACTCTGTTTTTTTACGTTTTCTACCTACTAACTATGTACAAAAGCGTTTCCTGGCTAGTTGACTTGACGCATTACCACATAAAATTGGTTGGGTCCTGGTGCGAATGCTATGCATGTTAATGTTTTACGCCGCGCTATTGGGGTCGGGACCAACCATGTACACTCTGGGGTAAAGACCGCGGCAGAACGACTCCTGTCCGCCACCGGCTCACGCTCAACCCTCTTCGACTCGGAAGTCCGACCTCATCCTGCTCAACTCCTCCTACCTGCACTACCTTTACGAGAAAACTTGCTCACAGTCAAAAGAGCGAAAGGGGGATCAGAAACCCATAAAGAAATTAGATACCCCTTCCTTCAACGTTTCTGCATCCTTTGCATTACAACAGGCTATGATGTGACTTACCATACGCCGTAGAGCCACTGGTGGTAACCCTCTTCTAGAACTAATTACGATTGCTCCCGTAAATAATAATAATAATGTAATAATAAGGTAATACAGATATATTTGCCGTTCTTACAGGTCTTAATGGGTCCCAACAAACAAGACCATCCATGTCTTCACTACCTTCATTTTTCCTCCAACAATAAAAGACAACTCTCTTTATGCTGATTAAAAGTTCAGCCCGACAGCTTCCAGCCGGAGGGAGCGGGGGGCGGGGAGGGTGCGGAAAGGGGTTCGGCAGCATTAAGAAATGAAAGCTATCCAAGCAGCCATGATTTACCGTCAAATTAGCTTTTAAAATGCAGTAGGCTTTTGAAAGTCACCCAACCTTTCAGCTTACCACATAAAGCTGAAATATTCGCCTTCCTGTCGCCTTAGAACGCCATTTCAGGGAAGAGTCAACACAGACGCTAGATCAAGGTGAAGAACGCCATCTCAGAAAAGCCGATTTCGAATGGAAACCGTTCCAATGGTCCTCTCCGAGAAGGTTCTGCTCCAAAAGAAAAACCAGAAAATGGAACAGACGAGAAGCCTGCTAAGAAGAAGGATAAAGTTAACGGGCATGCTAAGGAAAAATCCTCGAAGAAAAAAGCTCACGACGAAACCAAAGACAAGATGAAGGACGACTCATCGAAAAGAGTAGAATTTTTGGAAAGCGAGGTGGAAGAAGTCGAAAGAACTACCGCAGAGAATGATCGTGATGTCTCTTCTGACAGAGCCGATGACGGAGGTCGAGGTAATACTTGTGCTCCTTTTCCTTTTCTTTCGTTACATTTTACTTTACTTTTATTTTTTTATTGTGCCGGCTCCTACTGTTGGTTTTGATTTGTCCATATACTCCATATCCATAAGATGCCACGGGTGTGGCTACGCATTTCATATGAACGTGGCTGGGCCGCGCTTTGCTGGGATCTTTCCATTTTGGACAATTTTAAATCATGTCTTCGTCTGATACAATGCAGGAAGATAATTGTCTCACTTTGAAATATCCCACGAATATTCCGTCCTAGGTCATGTGCAAATCAGGGGTGCAGCAACGTTCATATGAAACGTGGCTGCACCCCCGATCTCACACGTCTCAGGGATGTGGAGTGTATGTTGGCGAGTTGAGAAGTGTCCACGAAGCTGTTGTGAGTAGTGCGTGACAGGCAGTTGCTGGTTCAAGTAGAGATTTGTAAGAGGGGCATGAGTCTATATCCCAGCCGACAACAGCCTGCCACCTC